CGGAGCGGGTGTGTGCCCGTTGTGTGTGCCCGGTTTCGGGATGATGCTGAGTCGCCTCATGAGCGGAAGCAACCGCAGTCTGGATCTCCCTTGTGTTTGCACCGTGAGGCTGCTGGACGACTCGGAGTATACGTGTAATGTGCAGGTGACAGGAGGGACCCGGGGGACGGAGGGGAGACATGGAGGACGGACAGGGCACCGGCGGGCCTGTGTGGGGTGCAAAGGAAAGATTTGTGTCTCCACCTGTCACCCCCAGCGATCGATGTGTGTGTGACACTCAGCTGTCACCTTGTGATCGGTGCGCTGCTTCCGATATGTGTGTTACTCTTATGTGACAGCATCGGAAGGCTCGGAGTTTATCGCAGCGTGCAATGCACATGTACAGTCTGCAGCCGTTATCAGATCATGTGCCCGAGAATGTGCATTGGTGTAGTCTGCTTTATGTGCTGTCATCCTGTACACTCCACATGTGTCCTGTGTGTGTGATCATATCATGGACCTTTATATGTCCGTACTACTCACCCCCTCCCCTGCCATCCAAGGCATCAGTGTCCTTTACACTCCACATGTGTCCTGTGTGTGATCATATCATGGACCTTTATATGTCCGTACTACTCACCCCCTCCCCTGCCATCCAAGGCATCAGTGTCCTTTACACTCCACATGTGTCCTGTGTGTGATCATATCATGGACTTTTATATGTCTGTACTACTCATCCCCTCCCCTGCCATCCAAGGCTTGCACTGTATGTATGGATGTATATCAGTGTCCTGTACACTCCACATGTGTCCTGTGTGTGATCATATCATGGACTTTTATATGTCTGTACTACTCATCCCCTCCCCTGCCATCCAAGGCTTGCACTGTATGTATGGATGTGTATCAGTGTCCTGTACACTCCACATGTGTCCCGTGTGTGATCATATCATAGACCTTTATATGTCTGTACTACTACTCGCCCCCTTCCCTGCCATCCAAGGCTTACACTGTATGTAATGATGTGTATCAGTGTCCTGTACACTCCACATGTGTCCTGTGTGTGATCATATCATGGACGTTTATATGTCTGTACTACTCATCCCCCTCCCCTTCCATCCAAGGCTTGCACTGTATGTATGGATGTGTATCAGTGTCCTGTACACTCCACATGTGTCCTGTACACTCCACATGTGTCCCGTGTGTGATCATATCATAGACCTTTATATGTCTGTACTACTACTCACCCCCTTCACTGCCATCCAAGGCTTACACTGTATGTAATGATGTGTATCAGTGTCCTGTATACTCCACATGTGTCCTGTGTGTGATCATATCATGGACCTGTATATGTCTGTACTACTCACCCCCTCTCTTGCCATACATGGCATGCACTGCATGTATGTGTATGTATGGGTGTCCTGTACACTCCACATGTGTCCTGTGTGTGATCATATCATGGACCTGTATATGTCTGTACTACTCACCCCCTCCCATCCAAGGCTTGTCCTGTATGTATGGATGTGTAATGATGTCCTATACATTCCACATGTGTCCTGTGTATGATCATATCATGGACCTTCATATGTCTGTACTACTCATCTCCTCTCTTGCCATCCAAGGCAATGTATACATGGATGTGTATGGGCTTTCTATACAATCCACATGTGTCCACTCCACATGTGATCATATAATGGACCTTTATATGTCTGTACTACTCACCTTCTGTTCTGCCATCCAAGGCTTGCCCTGTATGTATGGATGTGTATTAGTGATCTGCATTCTTATAGCCCACATCTGTTGTGTGTAATCACACAACAATGCTCTACATATGTGTGAGCATATATGTGTTCACATGTGTAAGTGTATATAGGGGGCATGCACCCATACAGTCCACATGTGTTCCTTGTAGGGATCATGTTCCTGGCAAAGAATAGACTTTTATATGCCAGCGCTACTATTGTAGTCTTTTGTTCTGCCTTCATTTCCTGTCCTGCATATATATATAAAAAATATATATACCGTGTTTCCCCGAAAATAAGACACTGTCTTATATTTTTTTTTGGCTCAAAAAAACACACTAGGTCTTATTTTCGGTGTAGGTCTTATTTTTTTTTTTTACTGTATAACAATCCAAAGTTAATGCTAATCCAAAATGGCAAAGTTAACAATAGGGTGATCAGGGGTGCCATACCTTTCCAAGAGCAATTTGGTAACCAGAAAAAGCAAAGCGCACTTTCACTATAGATTCCTCCCAGGCGGAGTGCATTTGGTATCACTTCGCCTGTGACAGGAGTCGGCACTATAGAGGAAACAGCTTATGCGGCTCTGGTCCCTGTGCTGCCGCCTCGCTTCCTCTAGCGCTTGCTTTATTGGCACCACTGATTCTCTCCCGCGGCTCTTCAGGTTCCCCCTTATGCCACCACCAGCCCTGGCAATGGTCACAACTAGGTCTAATTTTCGGGGTAGGCCTTATATTTTAGGAATTCCCAAAAATAGTACTAGGTCTTATTTTTGGGGAAGGTCTTATTTTCAGGGAAACAGGGTATATATATATATGTGTGTGTGTGTGTGTGTGTGTGTGTGTGTGTGTGCCGTTGTGTCATGCATGCATACTGTTGATATGTTTTTTTGTGTGATCAGATGCCTGGCTGGCTTTTTAATGAAATCACCTTCTATGCTGCCATAAAAGCCCCTATCTGTCTCGTACTTACAAGTGCTAGAGGAGCACTTTTCACTCTTAGTGAAGTGAACCAGTAAAGCCTCAGACATCCAATCGGGTACAGAGGTTTGTACTGTAGCTTTGGAATGGACACGGGTTCCTTTCATCAAGAATGAAAAGTGCACATGTAGTAAATCGGTTCCATGCAGTCTAGGTGCGTGCTGTGATTGAACGCTCGACTCATGATGCACTCCTAATATCTTGGAATTCTACACTCACAGTTATCAATGTGCGTATTCCAGAAAGCAGAACCATACCGCAGTGGCAATGTTTAAAGAGCTGTCTTGCATTGCATCATGGTACTTGTAGTTCCAGAACAGCTGGAGTGCCAAGGTTGCCTACCTTTGCTGTAGGATGCATCTAAGGCTGCATTCACATGGCCACTGGTTAGAATAACTAGGATTCCTGCCGCCAGAGCTACTGCTGCATACAATGTGCCCGAACAGCAGCAACAGCTGTCAGATTTGTACTCTGTACAAATCAATGGCCAGTTCTGTCACTCATCTAAGTGGTTACCTGTGAACTTGAGCTCCTGGCCGAGCCCAGGCACACACAGTGTGCATCCAGGGAAGGCGTTCCTGGCTGCACATAAACTGACCGCAGCTAAGCTGTTTGTGCCCCATGATCTGGGGCTCTTAATTTACATTTATTCCTGTGTATCTTACACACATAAGTCTCTTTTATTTAAAGCATATCTAAACCCAAAAACAAAACTAAAATATATTGCACCTTACCAATCCTTTTATTTACTTTTACAATAACAGTATTACATAAAAAAAATACAAGCCTCATTGTAATTACCCGTGTCAGTGTATATGGTTTGTCTTAAACTCTCTAAGGGTCCATTCACACCAATTGCGGTGCGTCCAAGAGCGGTAGCTGCTGGAATGCACAGAAATCGCTCACAAATCTTCCCCCTTCGTCCTGGGGCAGGAGGGGGCGTGGCGGTGCATTGAAGGCAATGGCACCGCAGCCAAGCCCCCCAGTGCAATTGGATGCAGGGCAAAACATTGCCTGCGTTCCGGTGCTCTGCAAATGCAAAAAAATTTACTTTAATGCACCGCCATGCCCCCTCCCGCCCCACAATGAAGGGGGAAGTTATGTCAGTGATTGCTGTGCGTTCTACCAGCTGCCGTGAGTCTCCACCTGTCACCCCCAGCGATCGATGTGTGTGTGACACTCAGCTGTCACCTTGTGATCGGTGCGCTGCTTCCGATATGTGTGTTACTCTTATGTGACAGCATCGGAAGGCTCGGAGTTTATCGCAGCGTGCAATGCACATGTACAGTCTGCAGCCGTTATCAGATCATGTGCCCGAGAATGTGCATTGGTGTAGTCTGCTTTATCTGCGTTCCGGTGCACTGCAAATGCAAAAAAATGTACTTTAATGCACCGCCATGCCCCCTCCCGCCCCACAATGAAGGGGGAAGTTATGTGAGTGATTGCTGTGCGTTCCACCAGCTGCCTTTCTGGAACGCACCGCAATTGGTGTGAATGGGCCCGTATTGACACTTTTGTTGGACAGCTTGGCTTGTTGAAGAAAGTTGAAATATAAACTTACTGGCTGGATTAGCAGGTGAATATAAAGTAAGAAAAACCTAAAGAAAAGAAAACTAATGCAGCCACTACATCTTCGAATTGGTAAACTGCTATAAATTAGATTTATTTTTTTTGGGTTTAGATACACTATAAGTAGCAATTCACATATTTTCCCTTTACACTTGTGCAATAATCCGATGGCAACACTGTGTTCTTTTATGTATACTGTAATTGTTTGTCTTATCTACATTTAAATAGTTTGTGTATTATGTATGAGGGCTATATATCTGAAGTCACTTTGTAAATAATAACACATCGCATGTCATCTATTTTGCATTTCTATAGTACTTTAACACATCATACAAGCAAATGTGACATAATAACTATTCTAATTCTGCAATGTAGTTATCTTATACTTCGTACCTCTACATTCTACTCCAGTGAAGTCTCTGGTTTGTGATAGAAAGCTTGTTTGACCTTAAGAGCAAGTACTCTTAAGGTGCATTAAACTTAGGAGTTTAATCTTAAAGATGCATTCAAGTACCTTAAATTGGACCTTTACCCCCTTTTACTAAAAATCACATCAGCATGCAGATTTAAAATCATCTTATATTTATTAGTTAAACAAACTTGTTTTTAATTTACTTACAAATAGAGTTCATCTACTACCTGGTCCAGTTCTGGCACAAATGACATAAGTGCCAAAGCGATGCATCCTGGGAAGGTTACACCAGCAGATCATTGCTGGGAAATCTCATCTGTAATGAGGTCTCGGGGAAAGGCTTTTTCCTCCCCTGAGATGTGTAAGGTCACATGTCTAGTCACATGTCTAGTCGCATGTGCCAGAGTTCCAGGAAGTAAATTGAGAGCTAATCTTCCCTTAGTAAACATGGCCACTGTTGGAAGAC